GCATTTGTTTTATTAATTAATAAAGATGTAACATTTAAGTCATAAATTTACGTAGGTACAAGATATTTTCAATATTAGATTGCAAGACAATATTACCCAATCCTAAAATTGAAAGTTTTGGGGTATAATATAAATTTTAACTGTTTTCGTGGCCGAACGGTTGCCATCTACGCAGAGGTCCTAGGTTCGATTCCGGGCCGGGAGAAATATTAGTATTTATTTACCTCGTCGCTCTCGAATTTGGGCGTAATTTGTGGTTGTCTATGTGTGTGTCCATATCAACCGCGACACAGGGTTTCGCCAGTGCGAGGTTATGTTGAGTGCGTGCGTTATTATTAATAGCGCAAACGTACACTAGTAGGGGAGCGTGGGGGAATGGGAACCTACTAAGGAAAATTGACAATAAAAGTCATAGTTGATGCAATTTAAATTTTTATTAGTTATGAACATACGCTTCACATATCTGGGTACTAGATAATCACAGAAAAAATATGAAACTAATATAAAATATTATATACATATATATATATTAATATAATATAAATATTTGGTAAAAAAAAAAGAAAAAACTAAAACAAGTCATTCGCTCTCATTACCCCACAGTTCGGGAAATGGGAGCCGATAAGAATCCCGTATGTCAAATGGGAGCCACTATATATAATCAGTCTGAAAAAAATATGTAATAAAATATATAAGTTAAAAAGTAATGAAAATAAACAATAAAGTGTTAAAGGAAACATAGAGAAATATCCAGTGAATATTGGAATGGGATAAGGAGCGCCAAACAGCTCTCATTACCCGCGTAACATGGAATTGACAAAGGAATAAAACAGTAAAAACGTTTCTATTTTTATTGTGATTTCAAGCATAACTTCTAAAATTTGGTAGATATGGTGACATAGCTAGTGTAAGTAGCATTATCTATCAATAGTAGTATCTATGCATTTTAATGCTTACCTGGGATGATGAAATTTAGCAAATTTTATAAACGCGGAGCGAAAAACACACAACCATCTCATACGACTAAGCGCGGGGTTCTACGGGGGCGCCCACGGGACTCGAACCTTGTCGAACGTTAACGAAGACATAGGAGTGCCGTTTGCACAAATACGAGCATTGGGAAAGTCCAGTTTAACACCGCTCTCATTACCCGCGTCAAGTTACTCTAATTTTACTCTCATTTCTTTTTCGTTTTTTATTCGCGAAAAATCCTTCAAATAAATTAGCAAATTGTTTGTTTGCAATCATGATATGTATGTGTTTGATTTGCTTTGATTGTAATTTTGGAGTAAAAACGTGTTCGAGCTTCTCGACCGGCAAAGGCTACAAACGTCATTCAGCATACAGTTATCGAATCACAGTTACCGAACGTCCTATTGTTTGCAAAGCAAGGATTTAATGTTAAAGTCTTAAAAATGTATATAAAAGGATTTTCATTTTTCTTCTATTCTATTCCACCGACTACGTGTCGAAACACAAAACTGCGATAGCACGTCGCACCGCAGAAATCTACGAGCCTGCACGACGCATCGCAAGAATTTGCGAATTACTCCGCATGACGCATTTCTGCGATGTTAATCATCTTTGTGTTTTTATCCTATACTTTCTTATCAATGACAGCAGTGCTGATTTACACTCACAACACTCTTTTTACGATCCGTGTCGTTACCTAGTTTAAAAAATACATTCAGTGCGGTTGGCGATGGTGGAAGGAATCGTTACGGGAACTGGGACGGGAACGGGGGCATCGCGCTGATTCGCAGTTTTGAGTTTCGACTCTAACTCCGTAAACACTATTGGGTAACGATATCGTATCCGAATCCGAATCGAACGTTTAACTCGAATGTTCTGAATAGCTCGGAAAGCGCCCAACGATTCGAGAACGATATCCAATCGAAACGATTCGGTAATAATTTTTTAGTGCGCTATAATGCGCACTAAAAACCTTATAATAGGGTCCCTTTCTCATTTTATATTTTGTTGTTATTTATTATTTTGTTGTTATAATACAAGTCGCATATTTGATACAACGATTTTGTGTTTATGTATAATAATTTATTTAGTTAATATTAATCAACTGAAATACGACTGGTGCCGAAACCAGCCATTTTGTTTTGATTTATTGATTAATGGTTATAGTCAACAACAACAATGGCTTTATAACACTATTGCGTTAACGCCATTATACGCCATTGAACCACAAATAACGGTTACACAATCATTGGTGCCAGTGCCCTTGAGTCGAAAATTACATTTCGTTATCTGAAAAATTACATTTTCATGCACACACAAACTATTTTTTAGAAGTTTACCAGTAATTAATTGATTTCGTTTTGTTTGTGCCATCTCCGAGTTACTTTTTTATCTAATTTTGCGCGTTCGTAAGCTATTTAGAATTTACAAATTTCCTCAAAAGTTACGAACATTGCCTTGAAAACAAAAATTACTTACACAATACGCGATAACGCGCAACACAGAAACGCGCATTCCCTCTCCTTACCATACTCTGAAGTCACGGGGGCGCTTTCGCATTCTTCCGCAACTCCGTCTGTGAGCGGTCCGACCGAGTCGAACCCCTTCTCGCTTGCCAGACAGATATGTTATCTCTCCATAAGCCGTCATGACTCATGAGAAACGAACTTGGAGCACGTATGTCGCCATCTCAGGCCCACCAGTAATGAGCAGAAGACGTCCCTAAGACTACCACTCAAGAGCCCATTGTTCCTTTGAAGTCGGGTGCTCTCCCAGAATTGTAAATTTATTTATTTACGGAAAATAATAGAAATATTAAGAATTAATAACTAAACACTTACTTAAAGTTGCAGATGAACACCAAGTGTTATAATTAAACAACAAATATTATCTTGAATAATAAGAGTAAGAAATTAAACTATATTTTCGGATCTAAATCGCGGATATTTGGCTTTTTAAGCAAACCAACGTTTCGGGCCCTTTATTAGTCCCACGGTCACGACTGACTGACAAATGACAAAAAACCGAAAAATAGTTTCATTTCCTATGTGTAATAATCGCGAAAACCTAAGAAGTCTATATTAAGAGTAAGCTCATTTACCAATGAGTACATACATCATTTGAGTGATGGAAACCTACATTAAGTTGGTTACTGTAGCATTTATTACTTCTAAATAGAAAAACTACTCTGAGAGGCAGACATATTATGTAAAGTAATGGATAACTCGCGTATTGAAGTCGAGTTTTTGCTCTACATGTTTCGAATCAGTCCGTGGTTAATCATGAGCTTCAGTTTATTACTTTTTTAAGTTTAAAGGTTTTATTTAAATAAATCTGGGGACACGACCTCACAATCCATATAAAATAAATTACCCTACGTAAGGGCCAAAATTAGAAAAATATCGTAACCATTAAGATTTTGAGGGAACTAAATGGTAGCAAAGTCCAAGAAAACAGAGCCATACAGTAGGTACATAGCGAGCTTCTTTTGTTTAATTTTCTAAGGTTTAGTTTGGCCTGACAAATAAAAAAAAACAGTTCAATTTTTCCTTTTATTTCTCTGACTGCATTGAACTGCTTTAGGGTCGAGCATTGACCCGGGTTTTACTAAGGGCTTAGGCTTGCATGAGATTCATTTGAATTTATCACACGTTTACCGCCATTAATTTCCCCGGCTAAAGTAATAAAATTCGAAATAACTTTACACTTATTCGACAATTGGTAAAACGTATAAAAACATTCAAAGAATTCAAGAGATTTCTTCATAAAACTTTTACAACCCAGGTCAAAAACAAAACAAGGAACTACGTTTTCATAAAATATACTCAGAATACACCACTTTTGTCAGTATTTGTTGTGTTAATATGGTAAAAGAAAAATATCTTTATTAATTAAACTTTGTATTTCGGAACATAATACTCGTTGTTGTCAGTAAATTATTTTTTTGGCAAATGTGCTCCAGAAGGTTGGAAGCCGTTATCGTCAGCGATATAGTCAACTCTATATTTAAGGCCATCGTCACCAGTGTATTCGTAAAAACCTCGTGCTTTCGTGCCTTGGTCTATTTTGCCATATTCTTCAGCATTGATTCCATTCTCGGTCTGATAGAGGTAATGATAACTATTTTCGTCTTGGTCCTGATCTTGTCTTAGAATCCTAGCAGAGCCTGAAGTGGATGCATAACGCTGAATAACTGGTTGTATTCTGGATGCATACACCGATGACGCGACCGGGACCAACTCGATACTGAAGGAAAGCAATTAGGAATATGAATACATATTAGACAACATACAAGGAGATACAATATCACCAAAGTTAACCCTAGCACTAGAATGCATATTCCAGCAGATGCAGTGTGCTAGGAAAGGGTTGATGATTGATGGAGAGAGACTTACCAATCTGAGGTTTGCTAACAATCTGGTTCTGGTTTCTGAAAGAATCGAGGCTGTGCTGACGATGCTAGAGGATTTGAGAGTGGAATCCGGAAAGACTGGTGTTAAAATGAATATTGGGAAAATCAAGATCATGACCAAAATTCCTGAAGTCACGAACGAGCGAGCTTCCAGTGGAGAAAGTGACCGAATATAAACGTGAGATATAAGGTTACACTGGACTTTGAGAAACAAACAGCGAAATTGGAACGACGGATGGCGCAGGTGTGGGCTGCATTCGGTGCCAGCAAACAAACGCTACGTGGCAAAATACCCATTCATCTCAAAGCCAAAGTTTTGGAACAGTGTGTCATGCCCGTGCTCGTCTACGGTACGGAAACCATGACTTTTACAAAGATGTCCGCCGAGAAGTTTCGAGACGCACAAAGAGGCACGGAAAGAGCAATACTCGGAATTACCCTGCGAGACCACAATAACAACGCTTGGATACGAAATAGGATCAAAGTTAAAGATGTCATGCCTGGCGTGACGAAGAACAGGTGGGCGTGGGCGGGACACATTACGAGAATGGACGAGAGGCGCTGGACAAAGCGAGTACTTGAGTGGAAACCCAGAGCGGACATCAGAGGGCGTGGCAGACCACCGCAACACTGGATGGACGACATCCAACGACACGGAGGTCGGGACTGGATGAGTCAGGCACAAGATCGCCAAGAGCGGAAGAACAGGGAAGAGACCTACATCCAAGATTGGATAAGAAAGCGGCCGCCATGATGTTGATGGTGATTACATTGGTTACTCTGATCCCAAATTAAGTAACTAAAGCACTTGTATTACGAAAGTCGGAAACAACGACGGTACCACAAACACCCAGACCCAAGACAGTAAAGTTAGTTTCTACATTGACTCGGCTGGAGATTGAACCCAGGACCTCAGAGATGGCAACACCATGAAAAACAATGCAAAAGCCACTCGACCACGGAGGTCGTCGTATGGATTATATTGAGTAGTTTTTTTCGTCTTGACTAAATTCAGTAGGTCGACAAATGCTTCAAAAGCAAATTTTGAAATTGAAAAGGTATTCAAGAAATAAATTATGCTATGGAAACAATATGTTCTTCATCAAAGATTATCGTAGTCACGATGAAATTATTATTTACAAACCCGTTGAAGGTTCCGTACGGAGAAGCAAACGCTGGTTGGAAATTAGAGATGATTGAGGCGTATTTTCTGTTGGATCCGAAGTTGCTAAATCCGGACTGGTAGTAGCCGCCATGCTCTCTTGGCCGATACTTGCCATCGTCACCATAAAGATGCGGACGATACTGACCGTCATCTTGGGCGCTGCTGACCTGTACGCCAACTAGCGCCAGCACTACAACCTGTAGCAAAAAAAGATATGAATATCAACTCATTATACATCCCAGTGCTGCACACGTGTCTCCTCTCAGGCGAGGGGGTAGGTCATAGTTTGTTGGAACAATGTGGGTTAGGAACTTCAAGCGTTTTTCGAGGGTTATGAACCTTCTTTGATGTACAGGTTCCCTCGCGATTTTTTTCTTCAGCGAAAAGTTCAAGGTAAATTTAAAATGAAATTGAAAGGCCGGATTCGAATCCTCGGCCTCTGATTGAAAGACGATAGATTCCCAACCATTATACGACTTTTTTATATATCGATATACTCCACTTCCATCCTTTGTTTTAAGTTATTTGGTCACGTGGAAGTTTTTAATATAATAGATAAGTCATACATCTGGTGCTAAGCATCACAACTGTCCATAACAGTTGCGGTGCCACTCAGACCTTCAAATCACAAAGATCTGACTGATCTGGGCACTGCCACTACGCCCGACACCCTGAGACATAAGTCCCATGTGCCTGCAATTTCACCAGCAACCCTACCATTCGACGGAACAAAGCAATGCTCACACTACGTATACATTATGACGGCCTCCGTGGTCGAGTGGTCACGGGTTCGATCCCCGGTTGGGTCAATGTAGAAATCTAACTTTTCTATATTGTCTCGGGTCTGGGTATTTGTGGTACCGTCGTTGTTTCCAATTTCCAAACACAAGTGCTTTAGCTACTTACTTTGAGATTAGAACAACATATGTGATGTTGTCTAATATTTATTTATTTATTATTGGCATTTTTTACTTTTGATTTGTACTTATTTTCTGTTTTGTCATTTCTTACTTTTTACTTGGACGAAGCCTTGGCGTAGTCTAATGGTGTGACCTACCGCCTCTCAAGCAGAGGTCGTGGGTTCGAATCCGGGCGAAACCTCTGAGTTTCTCGGAATTCATGTGCGAAATTTTATTTGAAATTTGCCGTGAGCTTTTCGATAAGGGAAAACATCGTGATGGAACCTGCACGTCAAAGAAGGTTCACAAGTGTCGGAAAACGTGTGACGTCCACAATCTGTATTAAACCAACGTAGGTGACTATGGCCTAAACTTTCGCTTGGGACATATTAAGTTGACAAGTCCCATGTGCCTGTAATTTCACCAGCACCCTTATCCTTCAACACAGGAACGCAGTAATGCCCACATTACTGCTTGGCGGCGAAAATAGGTGAGGTGGCAGTACTTCCCTGGACGAACTCTTTCACAAGAAGCTCTACTGCTACTAAAGAAGGTATGTTTGCATTGTCGTAAAATTCAAAAATTGCAATATTACATTCGCAGTACATTAATCAACCAACGTCACATTACACATTTACGTCTACGTTTCATTAACTTTTTTCACAGCACTTTTTTTACTTACCACAAAATACTTCATCTTCTCAATATCTCTTCAGAGCAAAACAATTCGAATGATTGACCAAAGCGTATATCGCATCTTTTTATACAGTCACCAAATCGGAAATAGAGTATTTATTCCAAGAGCACATATAACCAAAATGCGAAAAATGTAAATTTTATTTGTTGGTATGGCATTTAAAGTGACTTATTTGGGCGACCAGTGATATACTAAACTAGAATCCTGGTCTATTATCTGAATTAGATCATTTGACTAAGTAGTTGTTCGTCCTTCCGTCAACAAGAGCATTTATCAAGTGTGACTATTTATGTTGCTCTATTTGGAGACGTAATCAATAGATTTACAAACATCTTGATTTAATTTTGTGGTATGTCACTATTAAACTTTTTCTTTTAGTCAGTTAAAGAATAGACCGCATCAAGTGTGGATTGCAACTTTTTGCTGATCTCTAGGTAATATAGAATTCAGACAGTATTCACTTATATTAAAATAATCCAAATTGTTTCAATGTACTATACTTTTTATTATTCAATATATTTTATTACAATTATTATTCAATTACACGTTTATTTATTTGCAGTTGCTTCACTAAAATCCTCGTAAACTCGAACCAATAATTCATATTCTAACTTTAGCTTTTTCATAAGAGAGTTTGATACATTAGATGGATTACTTAATGTCTTCGTGCCCTTGATGCTGTAAATTGAACCGGGTTTTTCTTCTTTCTTGACATGCATTCTTGGAGAATATCTGTTAAGAAAACACATACATTATATGATATAATAATAACTTGTAATTCTATAAAATATAATAATAGCCCGACGACCTCAGTGGCACAACCGTTTACACTGTAGGCGCTGGATGAGGAGATCCCGGACTCCATTTCCCAAAGGATAAAATTGAGAAATGAGCTTTCCGAAATTGGTTCTGGTCTTGGTGTTTTGGGAATGTCTCAGAGTGAATTCCGTTGCTCTGGTATTCATAGTATAGGGAATTCCCCAGTGTGAGATTGCAATAGCCGATTGGTATGATTGTCTGACACATTGTTATACACTCATAATATTTTGCGAAGAGAACCGTTGATAGGAACAAGCTACAGACAAAGACTTATTCCATGTCTTTACCATAATAAGACCTCTTAGATCTGTCTTCTTTCCAACGAAGTAGAAGTGACTCACCTAATAAGAATTGTCAAATATATCCTTAAACATAATTGGATCAATCAGAGAAGTGGGTGTTTAAACTTAAAATTCATCCTTTTAAGGAATGCAATCGGATTGCCGTCAAAATCTCGTAAATAACTTAATTTAAACGAAAAGGCTAAATTAAGGTTGGATTTTGTTGAAGCAAGGTAGACTTTAGTTGATTTCATCGTAATTTGCATTCAAATGCAAGAAGTTAACGTCGTAAAGGAGGGATAATGGCAAAACGACGACGTCATCGACTTTACATGGCACCGATATAGCATATTTAATGCCTGAATATTTTTTCTTGCCACAATATATAATTTGCACGTTATACACACACTTCAAAACACTGAAGAAAAAAACATTTAAATCAATAATATTCAGCATGATATATGAGACCTCAAGGACACCTGCTTTAACGAATAACGGTTAATGTAGCTGTAAAGTTATTGGAAAATGGCCCGAAAAGACCATCTATTTATGATTTACAAAAAAAATTGTACTGTCAACGAGTTATAAGGCATTTTAACAAAACTTTCTTCATGCCATTTGTGTCAAACAACAAAAGTCACTTTGAGTCCAACAGAGGTAAGAAATACCAGAAATCTCAAAAAACTTTTACCATATATTACTAAAGTTCAAATTTAAAACTTAGTAAAGGCTTTTTTATTAGAAAAAGAATTTAAAAACCTTCAAAATCCTTCGCTGAATTGGCGCTTTCTGTGTTGAAAAACATGCATTTCATATAAAATGGCCGCTGAACAAATGAATTGGAACAGCTGGTCCTGGCAAATGGCCACCTCGTAATACTTATCTGACACTTTTAATTTTTTTCTTTGGCATAACCCCAAAATAAAAAGTATCCAAGGTTTGAAAATCGGACTTGCAACAACTTTCAATAGAATAAATCCGAGTAAAATTTCAGTAGCTACTTACACTTTGCGGAAAAAGACGAATCAATGCATCCGTTTAAGCACTGACAATCATAATCATTTCTCTTTTTGTTTTTATTATTTTTAATCTTATGAAACACATAGTTTGTTGTTAATTTTATAGTTTCCTTTTCAGTAACTACATAGAATGATTAATAATAATGAAATCGCACTCGTGGTATTATAAATCCACATGTGATCGTACGTTAAAAGTGCGTTTATCACTTGAAAGTCTTAAAAATAATACGAAATACGTGAAAAAAATGAGATTGTAAAATTTTATCTTGTCTATTTTAAGCATAAAGAGTTATGTACTAATTTTGTTCGTAGAATCTTTAAACCTGTCTCCTGAAAAGTTATCATTTTGCAGATGTGACCTTATAGATTTATGAACTGTGTGCTAAAAGTTTTTTTTTTAGATTGAGATGATATTTCTAGTACTTTACTTCAATTGATCCAACAGAGACTTTTGATTTTACTTTTGATATTATGATTTAACCAGACACAGCATCGATGGACATGAAAAAAGTTTTGAAAAATATCTTATATGTTGCCGACTGCACCAAACCTTTCAATGCGAAACAAATTAAAATAACTCTAAAATTCATGGACAGTCTTCTAGAACCGTTTTCCAGTAGCCATAACAGTTAAAGTAGCTAGCCTTGCAGCCCCTTCTGCAATATTTACCCAATATAGTAATAACACTAGTACACAATTATACTCACTGTGTTACCAATTCTTCTTGTTTTGGTTTAGGATCTAGACATTTGCATTTAAAAGCAAATTTCTTGTTACCAATCACTTCACTGAAATTATTTGAACTTTCCTCTGAAGTCAAAAAATCGTAAGACACATATTCATCTATCAATGCTTTTATATCATTGTATATATAAGGAAATTTTTCAGCGTATGTTCTTTTCCCTATGTATTGGTTACGAGATCCACCAGGCCCACCTGGCCCTCCTGATCCGCCTGGACCGCTTGATCCGCCTGGCCCACCTGGTCCACCTGGCCCGCTTGGTCCGCTTCTTCCACTTGATCCACCCGGACCATTCGGCCCACCTGGACCTTTTCCACCTCCTGCACCATTCCCACCGTTCCCACCAAAACCACCACTATCCCCACCCCCACCATTTGGACCAATCTCATGGATATACCTATTGTCCCCGTCACCATTTGGCCCCACCTGGTGGACATATCTATAGTCTCCATCATCTACAGGATACAACCCTTGCACATAGATGTAGGTGTAGCGCCCTTCGTCTCCAGGAATGTATTTTCCTTCATTCGCTGGTCTGTAGTATTTACCATCATCATAGACTTTATACTTTATGGGGTTATACTTTCCATTGTCATACGGTAAACTATATAGGACTGTGCTTAGTGATAATATTAAGATCTGAAATAAAATGAGTTTGATGTTTTTTATTGAAAGTCAAAATTTTTTTTTTTTATCTTGCGTGTGTTTTAAATTGTCAAAAAGAATTCCACATACATAGTTATCGACAGAAACATAAATTGTGTATCTATTTCGTAATGCCATTAGGTACCTAATATAATTTAGCATCTTTTATTCTATATAGTCAAAAATGTACATAATAAATGTTTTATAAGTAACTAATGACACATATGTAACTTATGTTTTTAAAACAATAATTCTAAAATACTTCAGTAATACTTACAAATCTGATTAATGTATTCATTATTTGCTGAAAGCTTCCACAAGCCTTTTTCTCTCTTGACACAAATAGCATATATACATATATTCACTATTCGAAAGCAAATGTTCAACTGTTATAGGCCTGGTAAAGCTACACTGAACATAAAGACAAAGATTAAAAAACACGTCGAATTTGAAAACCTAAATAATATTAATCAAAAACTGCTTAATGTCGATTGCCACATAATTAACATTTAAATCTGTAATAAATTTCTTGTGAGACATACCATGAAAAAGAAGCCTTATATCAGGGCGCGACGAGGTCAGGCAGATGGATTTGCATAGTTTATTCAAATAAATCCTTTTTAAGGTATGATACGTGTTGTTTAATAGACACTGTTTCGAACTGTACTGTTTGCAAGATCCGCGGTGTGCGACGAGACGACTAATCTACAGGAAAGTCGGAATCCTCTTAACATGGATGCGAGGGTTCACTGTAAACGTCGAAATGCATATAAAACAAAAATATTGCGGTATAAAAGGCGAGAATATTGTTTACCGCATTCCATTGAATCAATTTTATTTACATTTAAATTATTTGATTCATGGTAAGGCGTCATGTGCAACGGAATTACTCATACTTTACAAAAAAATATAAATAGTTAAAAAGGTTCTTCGTCTAATTTCCATATGTGAATAATGCACTTGTTCATAGTTTTGTTCTTGTCATGCTGTTTCGAACTACATGTATATAATGATTATATAGTTAATGATATTACTATTACTGAAATCAAATTGAAATAGTTTACTTAGCGTTAGGTAGGCGAAAAAGAATAAAATGTTCATTTTTTTTCCAAAGTTATTCCCATCTGTTCCTCGAAAACCGATCCATTGTGGGATCCGTTCTATTTTATATTATTTTCTATTCCCATCGGATCACCAATGCAGAGGATAAAGAATAAATATTAATATTTTATTCACACCTCATACCCTGGTACTTACAAGTTAATTTTTGGTAGGTACTATGGTACAGTCAACAAGAAAATGTATTTGAGGGTTGTACTATATTTTATTTAGTTTATTAGAAATTAGCAACATTAACTATACTTTCATGGTCAAGGTCTTTAACCTTTTATTATTTTCTTAAATACTACTTAAGTTTCATAAATGTTGCTTGTGATTTGCAATATGTCAATATTAATTACCTGTCACAAAAAAATTTGATTGTCTGATTAAAAGTCACAATTGCTCAATAAATGAATATTTGATTTCAAAACTTTTTTCTCTTGACATATCTTACAAAGACAGTAAGGGTAGGTACCTATATGTCTTTGGAGTAGCAAAATATAGAGGGGATCAGTTAGGAGTTAAAATTGGCGGTGGATCGGTTCATCGGGCCCGATAGGACCCTACCTAACCCTTTTTGTGTATGTCATCAGCCTTGGGATAAATTGAAGCTGATTTTTTTACCATGTCCGTAGTTCCACCTCCAGCTTCCACCTACGTATTCACTCAATATAACAAAGACGATGATACTGTGAAATAGATTCATTCATTATAAATTTTGCAGTCATTTTGCCGAGTCACAATAAAAAAAAAAAAAAAAAAAAAATGACATAGTTTGAGGCACCAGTTTAAAGGCACAGAAATGATGGCGTCAATGACCTTACACTTTTAATATTGTATTCAATTGTGAATTTACGATTTTGTGCCAATTGCAGTGGAGACTGCGGGGACTTGGGGTGCGGAGACCAAAGAACTCATCAGGGAGTTGGTTCGTTGGCTTAGAGAAAGAGGCTATGATCCGCGCTCTGGATCTTACTTGGTGCTACAAATTTCGTCGGCTATTAAGCGCGGTAATGTTGCCAGTGTTATGGGGATGTTTGAGCCAGCTAAGATTCAGAGCGGTCCTGTTTCATTTTTATAGTTAAATAGAAATGATTAAGTCTAGCGAATTGAATTATTAATTTCTTTGTGACGAAACCCGTTGCTGATTTATATTTGTGTCTTCCCGACGAAGCCTAGACATAGTTATGTATTTAATTTAGTTTTTAAATGAATTGAAATAAAACGTCATTGAGAATTAAAAGTGATGTTGACTGCACTTTTGACGATTTCTATAATTCGTTGGTGCAATCCACAGATAAAACTCTATAGCATACATTTGTGTAGCAAAATTTTATGTATTATGTATATCATTCTACTAAGTGTTTTCCATTAAACAAATTTGCATCCAAATCTTGTAGTCATAAAAACAAATTTATCCACAACAGTGCTGTTGTCTGCTAACGTAAAGCTAATGGATATTAAGACATAAAGAAAAAAATGGAACAAGAAAAGTGTTGCAGACAGACCAAAGGTTCCTGAATAACTCTGATGTAAATTAATAGCCCACTGATATAAAGAACAGCATTCCAAGATGACTTATATGGACCGGTTACTCAAGAAATCGATAAAGGAAATATGCTAAAAAAACTTGCATGATTTAGTTTCAAAGATTTTGAATATACCTAGAAACATGACATGGCAAGAATGTCTTAACGAGACACAACTAACAAGCTGAGAATCTCTCTCTCTCTCTCTCTCTCTCTCTCTCT